TCCCCGGTAGGACAGTGAGTCCCTCATAACCATGATAGACCGGCTATCGTGGTATGCGTAATGCATTTTCCGCCTCCCTACGTATAGGGTAGCCCTTTAATTGCTTCGGGCGCAAAAAAAAAACGCTAGTATTCTGTGAGAGCGCGGTCCTTCCCCGGTCGAGTCGACCCCAACCACAATATAGCTGCACCATGGCTCTACCAAATAAAAATTATTGCGAGCAACTGCAGTGTTTACTTAAAAACCGACATAGATCCACGGCGTTTTCCTTACCGCCAAGCACGTGGTAAAATCAGCACTTAAAATTATATTTTCGGCAGGAATCAAACCCAGGCTGCTTGCGTATCTATAGTGAAGTTAACGGCGAACGCTTAGAACCTAGGTTAACGAGGCTCTTAATTTACTTATATTGTAACTAGCGATCCGCCACAGCTTTGCAAGGGCGATTTCTGGATCTCGACAACAGCGCCATCTACGGGATGATTTTAATTGTGAATCTAACATCTCACATTCTATTGAGAATCGAAGCCATCCATGGACCCACTTAAACGCACAGAAAAAAAAATCATCAAAATCTTTCGACCCTTTTTCGAGTTTCAGCGTCAGTAACGGACAGCAATGGATTTTTATATATATTGAGATTTAATATTGATTGAATGTAACAAATTCATCTCCAAACAACAACCTCGCCTGCCCTGCCATTGGAAAGACTGGCAGTTCACAAACGGTGCTATATTCATTTGGAAATGTCCCGGATTCCACAAATTACTAATTGGGAGCAGAATTAACCTTCCGATGCCTACTAAATCGCCTGTCTACTAGAGTAGGGTATTGAACATAGAATACTATAATACACAATAGAATGGCTGTCAACCTTATTTTGTACCGAGATTCGGCGTCGCCGGGAGCACACATACAAGCAATTACGTCGTATTATAAGCTAATCACTACTACAAACCCGATTCGCTGTGTTTACAGACGTGACACGACGTGACGTGAGACGTGACGTGACAGCTTTTTATACATATTTATTTGTAAATAGCGTGCAATTTGGCATTTTCTAAATAATTTTGCATCCGAAATTTGGAAATGATTGTAACGTTAAAACACATCTCGAGTTGACGATTGTAATCGTCAATTCACACGTATTTATACGTGTGAATTGACGTCTTGTGGCATTTTGGTGGCTACACGGGCTTCGTCCACACCCCCGTTCTATTATGTATGTATTATAGTATTCTATGGTGTTGAATGAACAGTTTTTTTCTATTTGACCTATTTACAGTCCACTAGTAAACTTATTTACTCGCACTGCTCTGAACTAATCAAAAATAAACTATTTTATGAACCAATATATCATAGAAGATGAAAGGTCTCGAATCTTGTGACTGTAAAAAGGTCATTGACCCACCACTTGTGAAATTTTCCAGGGATTGCTTTACTGCGGGTACTTTAGGATTATTATAATATCAAAGAATATACGAATATTATATATTATTATATAAATGAAAATAGCCCCTAGGAATGAAGTAATCGCCACTATGCTGGTTCTACTAAAATTGTACAAAATTATTGCATAGTGAAATATGTTTAAAAAAAATTCTGCATTCGCTGGGTTTCCTGCTGGTTCTTCCCAGGACAGAGGTATTTTCCGAATCAGTGATAAATATAAAAATGACTGTCAATAAGTATTATTTTATAATAATCTATATTGAGGAATCGTGGTAGCTCAGATCGTTAGCGCAAGCTGTAAATTTCACAGTACGCGAGCAAACCGGGTTCGATCCCCGCCGGCACCAATGAAATTGTTAATTGTAATTTAAGTGCTGATTTTTCACGTGCTCGGCGATGAAGGAAAACATCGTGATCCTTTATGTCTGAGAAATAAGAAAAAAAATCAAAGACATGTGAAGTTCGCCAACACGAATTGGGGCAGCGCGGCGGTCATTTCCTTGCTCTAAAACCCTCTCAGAAATGAGGGGAGGTCTGTGCCCAGCAGTGGGACGTATATAGGCTGTAACTTTAACTTTTTTAACTATAATGTATATTTAATAAAAATCATTCTATATTCTATATGAAACAGCCTTATCCAGCATTGGATGACGATATTCGTTTGATAAGGTTAGGTTTATTGGATATTCTAGTCTGTCGATAAGTTTATACAGCCTTATTTTGCAATAACCGGCCGAATTTGCAGAGAAGGTTCAGAATAAGTAATATAGCCAATTTAATATTATTTTAGTTAAGTTATTTATAATAATGTTTATTAACTATGAATAATATCTTATATCTTTTTTATGGTGAAGAAAAATTACTTTAAAAAATCTCAAACATTTTGTCCTTTTTATCTTTTAAATTCAAAATGCGTGTTAATGCATTATTTTAACTAATTTTACTGCGCACACATTCGTAGGGGTCGATCGGTAGGCAAAAACGTTGCCCATAAATGACATTCATTTTGGTATAATTTCAAATAAAATTAGAAGCCTCAATTAACGATATTGTCAAAAACTGTAAAACGGTATATCATTATTTATATATTTGAAATGAAGTTTATAATTTGGCTACTTTTTGAAAAATAACCCTGTAGGTATACATTCGTACACTATTTTTAATACTTATGATGAACGTCATTCGACATATTTGTTAATAAATGCTTACATAACCACTCACACCTGTCACCCAGAGGGGTGGCCAGAGATTGTGAACTTCCATTTGGCACGATCCTGACACAACTCTCTCGCCTCCTTCGCAACGATATAGGCTCACAAAGCGCTGTTCGAATTCCCATACAAAATTTTTACTGAAACTAAACTGTCACGTAAACTATACTATAGATCAAAATGTTGGTGCTCAGGGTACTGAATCCTATGTTCGTTTATGGGTACGACAGATATAACTTTGCGGTCTATCAAGTCGAACCCAAAACAGGCCAACCAAATTAAAAAAAAAAAAGTTTCCGCACTACAATACAATTGTTACCGATTGATGGTTAGAGAGATTGCGTTTAATCATTTGCGTTATTGTAAACAGTTATATAATCAGTATTTTATTGATATTCTCGTCGGTTTAAGGGATCTCTTAATTTGGTCTATTTGGTCAAATTTATTCCAGCATATTTGCTCTAGTTTTGAGCGTAACTTAAATGACTATAAAATTTAATTATTATTTATAGAAGAGCTTGGTTCATATAAAATAAAAATGATGACACTGTGTTACGTGGTAGCCGTACGCTGTATTGATGTCGCGGTATAAATGAATCGGCTTGACCAGGGTATCAGCTTAAAACGGTAGCATAACACCATGGAACATAACACAATGAAAACAACTTCAGCGGTAACGAGACATTCCATCGTAGTCCACATGGATGTGTTAAAATATATGCATCATAATTTTAGGCCCTTTTCATTATATGAGCGTAGGAACAAAAAGTCGAAATAATATGCCTAATCAGTTGTTTGGTATAAATGTTTTGCGATATGATGTGTATGAAATGTGCTGTTACGCCACTCTAATTATGACGTAGCATTTCTTGTGATCGGTTTCCGAATACTATATTCAAAGATAGATAAGGATATAGAACGACCAGTGAACGCAGGAAATAGAGTGAGTGGGGATCCACACTCTATTATGAAAAGACAGAATGTGTCAAAAAAGTCAAGTCAAAAGGCAATTCATAACGCTGTGTTAATCTCTACTTTAATGTATGATAGTGAAAAATGGGTGTGATAGAAGAAGCACGAGAGTAGAATATATAATGCTGTAGAAATACGGTCATTAAGGAGTATGCTAGCGCTGAATCTGAATGACAGGGTAAGAAATGGTGTGATAAGAGAAAAATGTGGTTTGCAAGAGGATGTTGTGGTCGGGATTAAGAAAGTAATGCTTCGGTGGTTTGGTCATGTAGAAAGAGTGAACGAGGAAAGAGTGACAAAGTAAATTTATATTGCAGATGTGAACGGTAGAGTCGGGAAGGGACGTTCTAGACGAAGGTTTATCGACCAAATTGGCGATATATTGAAGATCTATGCGTAGATATATGGATGTAAACGAGGCGAGAGAGGTGTGTCCGGATCGTGCCAAACGGAAGTCCGTAGTCTCTGCCTACCCCTCTGGGTGACAAACGTGAGTGTTTATGTTTGGTTATGTTTATATTCAAAGGATAAGGAGGTAAAATGAAAACAACTTGTGAATGTTTAAAAATAATATAAGAACATCTTTATTCTTCCCTAGTATCTAAGCGTTATTTATTACAAATGATTTTAATAATACGCTAGGGTGGGATCCTTTCTGGGCTATTTAGATTTATTATAAAGGCGAGTTGATACATAAAATATCTTAATTCGATTGTCATTCAGTCTTAATTGGCAACATAGAATTTTAAAATATCAAGCCATACAGTCTCATGCACAAATGATCCACTCAGTTCCAATGTCTCTCATTGTTAAAAAGTTTGATGTAACATTATCATTAAAACATAAAGCGAAGCATCATCGTAATTTTATTTACATTATTTTCAAGTGGAAGGTCAAAAAATGGTAACTCGAATTATGCGCAGCTACATAAAGTTTGGAAACTAGATAAGACTTAACTATAATTACGAATTTTTACAGATTCGGTAAATCTTGACGGTTTCTCTGAATAATGTACAGTCGAAATATAGAAAACCGTTCAAAAAACCCTTTGCCTCTTTTTGCTTGTCATTTATTTCCCTTATAGCTAATAATTCAATGTCACTTCGCTGACATAAAAGATAAAAGTAAAACACATTTTTGTATTTTTAGTAGAAAAATAAAAATGATTATAATACAATATTTTTTATCAGCAAAGCTGCATCGATTAATTCTTAAAATTTAAAATACGAATAAGTTATATAAAATAAAAATGCATGAAAGGTATATGTATTTGCATTAATTTACTTGAAAAATAATTATCAGTCATTTAGCGACTTAAATTCTAGTGAGTATTAAAATTAAAATTGGTCAAACATATCGTAGGTCTTAAGAGAGTTGCTCGATAAGCTGTGGACATGTTAAAGGACGGCAGACAGCTGTTGCAGCTTCCATCTGAAATAAAAAGGAAGAAATATAAATATTTATTGTTTTACGTTTTTATTTATTTAGTACCTACAACTATGTTCTATCTGTAGAAATAGTCGTAAACGCTGCTAGTTTAACTAGTACTTGGAAATATGCTTGACGCGTTATGAATACGAATTGTTTATATTAAGCATTTACGAGAATAGATTATTATGAAGTTATAATATTTCAAATGCATTTTTCGTGGCATTTACGGTTAATCCGGTGAGCCGTGGTAGCTCAGATGTTTAGCGCTCGCTGTAAATTGCACAGTACGCGAGCAAACCGGGTTCGATCCCCGCTGGCACCAATGAAATTGTTAATTGCAATTTTAAGTGCTAATTTACCACGTGCTCGGCGGTGAAGGAAAACATCGTGAGGAAACCTGCATGTTTGAGAAATAAGAAAAAAGAATTTCGAAGACTTGTGAAGTCCGCCAACACGCATTGGGGCAGCGCGGTGGACACTTCCTTGCCCTAATACCCTCTCAGAAATGAGAGGAGGCCTGTGCCCAGCAGTGGGACGTATATAGGCCGTAACTTTACTTTACTTTACTTTTTACGGTTAATCTTAATTTTTTTTAATCCAATGACGCATTGATGAAGGGTTAATTGTTTGGTGAACGTATTGCTCCGATGTAAGATAATACGCGCTTTAAAATCGACATTTATTTTTTCAATGGCCGATATAATATGGCACGGCACATGCCGTCAGGTGCTCGGCTACATTTTGCATATTTATTTTTATTTATATTCTTCGCCTTGTGCTCTAGTTTAAGACAGAATTAGTAACCATGTGAAAATTTTGTAATGAGTATAAAATTGATTTTGACTAGCTGTGTTAATCCTTATGCAACTACTGTATGTGGCCTAATTAGCTATTTGTTAATATGCTGTTAGGTGTTGTTCAGATCGTCCCATTCCAGAATTAGTTTAATTAAGTTCGGATACATGCGCATGTCGCTCAGGGAGCTATGGAGAGGGCTACGCTCGGAGTTTTTCTGCGTGATAAACTTAGAAATGAGGATATCCGCAGTAGAACCAGAGTGACCGACATAGCCCAACGGAGTAGTAAGCTGAAGTGGCAATGGGCCGGCCATATAGCCCGAAGTACCGACAACCGCTGGGGAAAAAAGGTTCTCGAGTGACAGCCTCGTACCGGTAGGCGAAGTGTAGGGCGACCCCCCACTAGATGGAGTGACGACCTGGTAAGACATGCAGGAAGTCGATGGATGCAGGTGGCTCAGGACCGTGCTTTGTGGCATTACTTGGGGGAGGCCTATGTTCAGCAGTGGACTTGTGAAGGGCTGTAATGATGATGATGATGATGAAGTTCGAATACATCGCTTAACATTTTAATAGTATTAAATTTAAAAAAATTAATTTGGAATATTACAAAAAAAGGTCTTATGTTTGATGGTAACACTCGTACACTAATCGTAGTTACGTATGTTTAAATTGAGTTATATAGGTACATATATTTCATTTTTATTTTTTAACACAAATGCTTGTCGAAGTAGAAGTTTGTAATGGTGCGAAGAACAATTCATTACAAATAAAGAGTAAGAAAAAACCACATATCGAAGTTGACAATAACTTTAACCATGAAAAAATTCAAGTCGACTCGTTGCTAGTCGGCAGTCTTTTACAAAAAAAGAAACAATTATGAATATTTACCAAAGATTTAGGAAATAAACAAACTGTGATGCCACAAAAGGAACCATTACGATGGTATGGGCATAGTTTTATTGCAGTGTTGCTATTACAAAGATTTAATTTTTTTGCGAAAGCCAGCCGATTTTTTAGCGATCAGTAAAAAGTTGCAAAAAATGGTCATTTGGTAATAATTTTTTACTGTATGCGCAAGTGTTATTGTTGTCCTTAGTAAAGGCGAAGACCCTTTTGTTATCAAAAAATATAAACGATGACCACTTTTTAAATGGTATTCCTTATAAAACAAAACCATTATATTTTACTATGAATAAAAAAGGGATTGTTCTTTTTTTCTACTTAGCTAGCTGTTATGTAACCAAACATTACGTCTATCCCTAGACCTGAATAAAGCAATCTCTGCTCTGCATAGAAAACTGTAATTCAATTTAACAAGGAAACGTAAGCAGTTGTCTATCTTTCTCTCAATTACCATATTCTTTATAAATAATGCATTAGAATATAGATTGCGAAATATTTTTATGAATATTATGTTAACTACACTGACTTTTGTTTCTTTAATGTGCATTTTCAAAATTTTAGCGTATCATAATTGAATTCCTTTATAAATATATAGCCTTTTATATAATATATATCCTTTATATATAATAGAAGCACACTGTATATATATCCAAAGGTTAAAAATAGGTAATATTTTCTGTCATCGACCCAATGCACCCGCCCCTAGTAGTCATCCTTGGCTAAAAGCAGGCTCCCTGCACCTGTCATTGTTAAATTAAGCCTCGCCACACATGGCCTTATCCCTCAAATTGAGTACTTGCATTGAACATAGATACAAATTTTTTATCGTTAATTTTATTTGTATCTATATTATAAACTACAACTACCAAAGTACACGCTAGTCGGTAACAGATGGCGTTACGAGCGTATCGTAACGTTATTTCATTATCAGCTCGGTTTTTATTTAAGAATTTTAAAATCAACGTAATCATCATTTATCGGACTTAATTAAAAAGATTGGACCAAAATGACAAAAATACTTTTTTAAAACCGCGTCCATCTGTGATCGCTCGGATCGTCAACTGGAACACTTAATACCAGGAGAGCATACCTACTAAAGAACTTGCTTTGTAGACTTTTGTAGAAGTTTGTATGTGTTTGTGAGACAAGGCACCCTTGAAAAGCGACAGAAAAATCTTACACGTTCATTTTGCAGTATTAAGAAGTTTAAAGATCTAGGCTTATTAATCTAATAGATAAATCTCGTATTCAGTTAAGATTAAAAATGAAAGAAGAAAATGAAATACCTACAAATTTTTTATCTAATTGATTATCTATTGTATTTTTAATAATTAATTATCTATTTGAAATTATAAATTTCTTAATTTAAGGGAAATTTTATTTAATAATATCTATCTATAGAAAAATTGAAATGGATGGGGACAAGGAATGCTAAAAATAACAATTATTTATGGCTAAAAGCGAATTTTATCCAGCTTATTACGGGGATATGAAGTACCAGGCCGACAAAGACCGCGAGAAGCCAACTTATGACGAACCTCGTTTCAATGTGTACTTTTAACATATACACGGAGGATCGTGTGAGCGTGTGTTTTTATATACAAATGTGTGCGTTAGCGCGTGTAGGCGCGTCACCGATCACAATGAGTGACGAGACATTTTAATTTAAGGCATTTTCACAAGATTACAAGAATTTTTCAATTTGTGTTTCGTGAGGCGATAACCATTTAATAGAAGTAAATAATACTACTTAAATAGTTTTTTTTAATAAAAACATTCTATACAATACTATAATCTTAAATTAGTGGAATTTACTAAGTAGTAAGAATTTTGTCAAAAAAATTCATAAGAGGCGAAAATCGCTTAAACACCTTTTTGTGATTCTTAAGGTTGACGCTCTCATGTTCGTACGGAGCCACACGCTAGTGTTCGTTGGCTCGAAGAGCTCCTATGCGGAAACACAGCTTTGCTATTAACACGCACTCATATATATGTACTATGAGATACTGCCACTTGCGTGTATGTAATGCGCATATATAGGTCTATAAAATATCTACGCGTTGTACGTAGGCACGGGAAAATGATTTTCTTTACACACAGGCATCCAAATACGCTCACTTTGAATGGCGGTAAACATTGTACGTATATGTTTTGCATTTGTAATAATGTACACATTTTACTGGCTTTACGTTCGTGAGCTGTTACTATGTTTTGGATACCAAGGAGACATAAAACTACGGGAGGTATAATTATATCAGTCTTGTCATGTGTGCGTAAAATTCTAACCGTGTGCGCTATTTATCAGGTGCGCTCACATCATCAAAAAATATCAATGAGTTACACAAACTATATAGCAATACAAATAGAAAAATAATGCTTAATGGATATTTTTATTAATTAAACTATTTCATATTTTCAAAATCTGCTGGCGCGGCGAAATTCGCAAGAGTGGAATACTCAGTCTTATTAGGTAGGTGGATGCACCGAGAGAGTTGATTGAACGCTAGCGATCTCATCATCTACCAGTATATTGGCGTCCGATGCAGCGGTGTCAATGACATGATAGATGACGAATCCATCAGAGTGGTTGGTTAGCTAGAAAAACAATGTTGACTTCCGAATTCAAAAAATTACTTGATTGTAGGGCAAGTCAAGGATTTTAATATTTGTTTTAGTTTTACATACAAATTTTACAGAAATATAATCAAAATTTGATTATCTCGGTAAATTTTATCAAAAGAAAATTTATTATATCAATTGAAGGTTATTTTATTTTTATTTCGATATAGGCTTAACAAATAATTGTTTTCTGTGAGCCAGGAGCGTCATATTAAAGACGAAACGAAGAAATTACTTCATTAATATCACAATATAACAGCAGTATTGATTTTTTATATTATATTGTATAAAACAAAGTAAAAAAAAAAAGATAAATGCGAGTGCGCGTCAGCAGCGAGGCAATACCACCAGTTGCAGCAACATGTTATGCAAGGCTTTATGCAACTAAACTTGGATTGGTACAGACAAGGCTGGGGATAAATGTAATGTTTGGTCTGGGGCCAATATTTGACCCACTCACAATATAGGTACGTACTCCGGCCTTTGGTGTGTTCACTCAACTATAAGGTATCACACGTGACTGTTATGAAATTAGATCCGTATTGAATTTATGATCTTGCGCGAATCGATGTAAGGTTCTGTTAGTATAATATTCATTGATTTGAAAATTAATTATTACTACGCAGAATATAAGTCCATGATAATACTGCTTTTTCTTTTTTATAATGACTACCGACATTTTTAATGAAACTGTAGCGTCATATCTTGGTGGGTTTTTCTTTTAATGTCTTACTAAAGAATTATTGTAATTTTATTGATTAATTAATATTAATGCTAGATGATTACTATGGAATTATTCATATAAGCATTTTAATATGTTGTTTGGGTTTTTTTTGCGATGTAAGGCGACAATGTATGGTACATTATCGCCTGCCATACACGAACTTCATAGATGAGTGGCACCATTATACTATTGGGGAGTCTGGGCTCACCACAGACGAGTTGGTGACTACCACCATGATGGGTATAAGGCCCGGTTTACATTTTGAGAAGTGACAAGTGCGTGTAACAACTGACAAGTGGCTAGTGAGAAGTGGCAAGTGGTATTTGATTCCCACTTGTCACTTGTCACTGCCTGTTCACACGCACTAAGCACTTGTCATTGTCACTGTCATTGCTCGCACTTGTCACTTCTCAAAATGTAAACCGGGCTTAAGAGTTGCCTAACTTTTTTAAAATGCATACCTCCTTGAGGATTTTAGTAAAGGCCTACTTAGTACCAACCCATGTCCAGTGAGAAATTGTCGACAATTACATCGACGAGAATAATTTAACAAAATTAAAAATTACTTGTAATTATTTATTTTTTGGTTAAATTAATAATCTATTTTTTTTTTCGTTTTATTAATTATCTGTATTTTATAAAATTCAAAAGAGATTAGGGCATTCCCCATGTAGATAATCGTTGTAAGCGTTGTATAGTCAAATAAAATATCAGTGTACAAATAAAAGAACCTGTTCCTTGGCCAGGGTTTGTTGACTCCTTAAAATATTTTCGTCGTTTGATTCTATCTCTATAAACATTTGATCGGTGGAAATATGTTAAAATATGACGCTGTTCTGGAAACAAAGTTTTATTACTAAACTATAATTATATAATTATATTTAATATTTATGGACTTAAATGAATAGGAGATTATTTGAGCTGCATTTTTCATAGTTTTTTTTAAAGCCAAAGTCAACATCAACAAAATCAACAACAACAAACATTTTCTTCATTTTTCATTATTAATCAAAATAAACACGTGCTTTATAACGCATTAGGTAAATCTATTGTCGAATATAAAAATCAACTGTTGTAAATAATGATATCGACATTTCATAAACGGTAATAAGTACATTTAAATTAAAAAAAAATATCCCCGTAAAATATAGGAAACCTTTTAGAAATTATCAATTATATTTCGAAACAAAATATCCGCGGCCGCCGACTAGTGTCATGCACAGAAATATTATACCTACAATGTCGCGACGCATTAAATGTTCACAATTTGGCACGTAAGTAAATAATGATTTTATTTTTGCATAAACAACCAAGCCACCTGCTCAATGCCCGCCGCTATGGCACTAGAACGTTGCCCACTTAATTATTTACACATAAAACCTTTAATTAGAGTCGCCAGCTGTCCTCCAACCATGTATTGCACCTTTGTAATTTTTTTGCATCGCAAAAATAACAATTTTAACATCGAATTTATGTCCGTCTTTTGCTTATTGAACTTGGAAAAAGCATATCGCTATCGATTATTCCAACGAGCACAGGTGCTAAAATGAAGGGTTTTTGTTGTAAAAGCTCTGTGTATTTATGTATCTATGAATGTTTTCACCCACTTCGAGACTTTTGAGTACCTAATCTGAAATCTTACCGACTTATTTAAGAATCGATGACTATATAATTAAATCATAACTATGACCTAGTATTCCCGCTGGGAGTATGACGGCTCATGATCATGCGTGTTGTTAAGATTTTTCTCTTTAATATTTATCACCCTCTAAACTCTAATATTTATTATGTAACATTTATTAAAAAAACATTTGAATGGTTTATCGTAAGTGAGGGTAATATGGTCACCTTAATCTTTGCCGCCTTATAATCCCAAAACTAGGAGGCGGACAAAGACAAAAGCACAACATCTCTTTCCGTTTTGGTCTTTCTTCTAGGAAAATAGCAAACAAGCTTTGGCAATAATTAGGGACACTCAAAAATTAACCTAAAAAGACTAACTACACTACAAAATACTAAAATCGACTAAAATATTTATTATAATGTCAACTGTCAAAATGACCGTCGATGAAGCAGCGCCCTTTTGACACTTTTGATATTTCTTTGACTGATGAAGAGCTATCGAATCACAGAGTCATCTCAAGGCTGTAGTTTTTGAGTTATAAAAAAGTGAACATATTAACCAAATGACCATATTACGTGACCTTCACGTACTATATTGTAAAGTCTTATTCGTTTATGACTTAAAGTTTTGACAAAATTATTTTGATAATATTCTTAATACAAGACATGTACTTGTACGTTATTTACATGTTTGAAGCGCGAAGAGAACAGTACTAATGATAATTATTTATCATAATTATCATCACTACAGCCTATCTATCAAAAAGTACACCGGTGAACTTAGGTCTCCCGCATACAAGGAAGATATTTGCCATAGTTACCATGTTCGGCAAGTGGGAGCCAGTTTATTAAGATGTTATGGGGAAGATGCTGCTGCCCATCTCGTTTCTGTTTCCCTCTATCGCATCTTAGCACAGCCACAGGTGTCTTGGGGTAGTTGAATCACAGGCACCTCTATACGGCAAAAATAAAAAAGTGGTGGGCATATTAACAAATTCATTACCTAAGTAAACTCAATCTTGCATCTCATAATCCTTTATATATATATATATATATATACAAATTTAAGTGGAATTAATGCGTAGAGTAGAAAAAGATCAGTTGAGTACGTACTAATAGTAAATTATTTGTTAGTCATTGCAATTATTAAAAGTTGAATCGCGATAAGAAAATTCGTTTTTTCTTTATACATGGATTAATGTAAATAAAATCATTTGTATTTACATTAATCCATGTATAAAGAAAAAACGAAACTGTCATGTGAAGTACAAGCTATCACAATCAAATTACGCCACATTAAGTTATGACACAACTCGTCTCGTCCATATTAAGCTACCAAAATAGCTGGCATGAGTTTAAATGGACTAACAAAGGAAGTACAACGTGCGGGGCATAACTTTATAAGCAAAAAAATATGGCGGACTAGGGAGGTAGTGACCTATGATGACGCAATGCCAAAAACAGGCCACACTGCAGCGACAGAGATTCTACGGGGTCAAGGAAGTTCAAGCGAAATAAAGTACCTCTAATTAAAGTTGTTAAGCCTTTGCTTAAAAAAATGAAAGTTTTGGAATTTCCCACTGAAAATTGTATCGAAACATTTATATCGGCTTATTACGCGAGTGTTATGTAAATCGGCCGCGCTATTCCGTGTTTTGGCGTGCGGAGCCAGTAGACGCCATTTCGTAATTGTTAAGCGTGTATTATTATAAATTTCCGTTGATATAGGATAGGCCAAGGTCAATGGACCATAAAGCCAAGGGTACATTACGAACGAATTTATTAAAATCATTTTCAAAATAATGCGAGGAGAATTTTTTAATGTCGCCGAAGCAGTATGAGTCGCGACTCCGCATCTATTTTGAACTGCCGATCGGCCGTTCGCCCGGTTGTTGAACTGGAAGAATTCGGCAAACACAAGCGCATTACGCGCTTGTTGATCTTTAAATATCTGACACACGTTAAACGTGTGACCAACGACAAAAACACCCTTCAGAAAAATGCGACAATTATATTCAGGAAATAAGTGTTGGGACATTGTCAGCGCTATTAAATCAGATATAAATCTGTTAATTGACCTACCAATGTTAAAACATTAAAAGTCATTTTTAATCGTATGCGATCATAAAGATAATTAATTGCCGCAAATTTTATGATAACATTCATAATACAAATGAGCGCACTGTAGTGTTTTTGCAAAGTTGGACGCAAACATGCGGAGATCTGTTCGTGTGCGTGCTTTCATCTACCTGTATATGTGTGCGCTGTTTCTGTGTGTACGTGGAAGCGCGCGATGAAATAAAATATGTCCGGTCAACGAACCCGCGGTCGGTGCCATAAAAATCGCGATACTGGCCGAAATTCGGGCAGAAAATAAAAAAATCAGAACCGGACCACGGATCTAAACTGTGTTTTTAAGTGTGCATACCTTAAAATAATTGCAGTTAGGACAATCTTTTACAAAAATAAATATAGCAGCGAAAAACTGAATTATTATTATTAGAATAAAAATGGTAACAAAGCTAGGAGTTATAGTCATCAGTCAGTGTTATCCTTTGTCTCATCAAAACGACACGCTGAAAATATAATATAAACTGAAAATTAATAAAAAATTGCATCAGTATTCTACAAACACTAATAAAAAATAGTCAGTTTTATCAAAAAAAAAAAAAAAAATACACGAATTGCCAGACGACTACACATTTAAAAGCATAGATATAAAAATACTTACATTAAGCCGAATCAGTCCGCCATAGAGTGAAAACGCGTTCTGAAACCAGATTTTCACAGCAGAACGAAAGTATTTTTCCGATATGTGTTGTACATTTCCGGATTGCACGCGGTGCGCGGCACAGCTGATTTCCATTCAATGACCTTGCGGACACGTCCCCCTTCGTTTTATTCATATTATTTACAGGTCGTAGAAATGTTACTGAGCAGTCAAATCAAAGTTGATACTCTAAACCTTCTCTTTCTGCACGACGATGTCTCTTCCGGTCGCGTGCCTGTGAGGATTCGTCGCTTTCCGCAACACATCTTGTCTCATCAAAGGTTAGGTTTAGTAGATTTCAGTGGGGTCTAACCCAATCATCATGGGAAGTAGTTAGTACTGCCCAGTAGGATCAAGTACCTTAACTTCCATTTTATCAAATAAGATTCTAATAAGAATTTTCAATACAGACCAGTAGGATCCAAGCTCTTTACTGAAGACATTGCTCTGGAGTCAGTACTGACCGGTGGGGTCCAATGTTAATACGTCCATATTAACGACTAACGAGTCAATAATTTTTTGTTTAATAAAGTCCAGTAGGATCCAGAGTGAGAATATCCATATTTTCTTTAGCACAAGTTGAAACACAATAGTTCGTTCGTGCACCGAGACGCGATGTAGGAAGTGATTTTTTTAACACAGTGGTGCGTTCGCGCGTATGCCGTGCCGGGCTATGCGCGGTGCGGCGCCGGTGTGCGTTTATATGATGAAACCGTCGTACTTCAACGCCACCTGGCGACGAGGGGATAAATAAGAGGAGTTTTCCGTCCCCGTTGAGTGATAAAGTTCTTTCATTTTCGTCCATAGCACATATGCGCCTGAAATTTAATGCGGCTAAATTGCTTGTCTTATTTTATTATATCTAAAGCTCTTTTTTTATTAATTTAATTTACTTTTAATATTGTGTGCAACCTTTTAATTAGATTTGATTTTATTCTATGTTTTAACATTATTAACGATAAAGGTTAATGTAGGCCACACGCTTGAGTTTAAACATATTAAACTCATTGGGTATTCATTGATGCAGTGTATCTTACATGTGGTATGTATATGTGGAGCCTTGCTGCAGCTATATTGTAGTCAGCACGAATGGCTCGGCTTGACCGGGGTGGAACCACGCTCTCGCAGAATACCAGCGTAAAATAGCAGCTTAATGCTTGTTGTGTTTCGTATGGTGAGTGTAGAGAACCGGAAACCTTTTCCATTCCATCTCAGTCATCAGGGCTGGAAACGTATCTGAATTTTAATTTTTTAATTGAAGATACATGTAGATGTCTATAGGACACAGCATCCACTTACCATCTTGTGGACTATGTACTCGATGGTCACCCTTATTCTATAAAAAAAAGTATGCAAAAAAGCTGTCATACTTATTATCATAGATTTAAAGTTTTTAGTGCATGATCGACTGGTTAAACGCTCATAGAAATTCTAATAAATCATTAAAAGAGTTTTTTTTGTTTGTTTTTCTAAATTGTATCAGATTTCTATTACGCGCTGTATTCTAAACACAGGTTTTTGTTTTATAATCCATCGAAAATCGTCATACATACAATTGTATTTTTTTAAAATTCTGCGTGGTAGAGCCACGCTGCTACTATATTATGGTTGTAGCACAAATGGGTCTCAACATGGCACAAATGACCAGGGAAGAACCACACTCTCAAAGACTACCGGCGTAAAATAGCAGCTTGGTGCTTGTTGTTTTGTATGGTGAGTGTAGAGAACCGGATACCATTTTTACTGGATACGAGGCATTCCAAGTTAGTCCACAGGGGTGACAGCGCAACTGCATTTTGTTTCTCAATCGAGGATAAATGTAGATGTCTATGGGCCACAGCATCCACTTACCATCAGGTGTGATGAGGCTCGTGTCGTGAGGTGTGCTCGTCTGTTACCTTTATTTTATAACGTAAACAATTTATAAAAATTACATTTAACAAATATTTATACTTACCTATACAATACACAAATTTTTCATTTTCATATTTTGTAAAAAAAATTGTATTGCATTATTTGATTTTAATAAAGAAAAAAATATTTTTTTATTAAAATCAGGTGTGATGAGCAGTTTTATTCCTAAACGATTAACACCTAAATGTTAATAGTCATAAATATCCAAATAGTAGACGTAAACATGTATTATAAATCCTAGACTAGAAAAAGTAAAAAAGCATTGAAATGTAATTCAATCCACATATTTTTTTATTTGAATAGTATATTGGTTTACTTAATAAGTATTGAATTATTTTATATATTATATTAAATAGATTTTTTGTTAGAAATTTTCCAAAGATAACCCCAATATCCATAGGTATCATTAGAGACGTCAGTGGAAAACAAACCAGAGGCAGTAGGATTTTTCTAATAGTAACTAAAAAAAAAAAAAAAAACTGCAGTTGCCTACCCGCTTGCCAAGTGGCCTTTTGGCAAATATCTATGATCCGATCTATTGGGAAGGCCTATGTTCAGCACTAGACTTTGACAGACTGTAACGGTATCGCTAAAGTGTGTAAAGTAGCAAAATTTACAGCCTTTGGATAAAGACTGTAAATTTTGCTTGATACCCCAGTAGATTTTTCTCTTGCAGTTGTTTGTCATCTGCCTCACTCTCCTCGCTCCACAGAAAATCAGCATTACTAATTGATGTATGTATATCTTCAAATCTTGACTTAAAGCTGACTGGAGACCATTTTGGTACATATTACGTTATTTCTTCTTTTTTAAATATTTTTGTTACTATATAAAGAACTGTTTAACTTAATTTATTCTTTTTGTTATAATGTATGTATCAAATAAACTTATTTCTTTCTTTCATTCATTTCAGAGAGCGTTTTACTCGTAACAAGCATACATTTACATTAAGTGTACCAACCACATTTAAAATTGGAAGTTGTTTGCACGCGGTCAAACACTACATTTCCATAATTATACTCAACTTCTCAACACGCACTCACGCACGCATCTTTCTTCATTCTTTCCTTATCAGCCGGTAAAGATTCAATGCTAGACCCACATGCATATGCACCTAAAACCATCTTGATGGTTGCAAATTATTTGAAATGCATATGTGTATGTGCGTATGTCTCGTTACAAAAATTGAGCATGATTTTGGCTTGGTTTTTGGGTAACTTGAAATAAACTGTACCTCACTGACTTTGACTGCAGTCACCAGTCAACATGAATGGCTAAAGACTTCGCTCACTTAATATTCCAGCGTATAATAATAGCATAATACTACATATATCGTCATTTAAGAATCACAATACAGATTCCTCTTCTCAGGGGCGACAACGCATCTGCATTTGGATTCTTAATCGAGAATTAAAAATTGAATAAAACTCGACAGAATCCGTTAAAGTTTATTGGTGGTAGAGCTATACTGCAGCTATATTAAGATTGTAGCACGAATGGGTCGGCTCAACCGGGGAAGGACCACGATCTCACAGAATACCAGCGTAAAATAGCAGCTTAATACTGCTGTGTTTCGTATGGTGAGCGTAAAGATACGGAGACCTTTTTTAATGGAGACGAGGCATTCCATCTTAGTCCTCAAGGGTGACACCGCATCTGATTTTTTATTCTTAATCGAGGATAAATGTAGATGTCTATGAGCTACATCATCATCCACTTACCATCAGGTGGACTGTGCTCTTTTGCACCCTTATTCTATAAAAAAGTAGTTTTATTATTAAATTGTTATCAGGATGATGCTGACGTCCGTATTCATTTAGTTTCAGTTTTTTTTTAATGAAACTAAAGTGACTGCAGTCCATGCCAGCCAATCTCAAGTAAATAGTGCTACAGATGCGTTGTCACCTCTGAGTGCTAAGTTGGTATGTCTCACAGCCTGTAAATGTACTGGCTCTTTCTACAGTTCAGACTAGACCACAACAGTGCACGCACTGCTATTTGGTTACCTTCCCGGATGGACCGGGCATAAGAGGATTTTTGCCATCTAAATTTGTTTCTTTCGCCTTTTATGTTTGTCTCACCCCACAGGATAATATCGCTATATCGTCCTGTAGAAGTGTATTCTATTATGGAGGCCACACACGGTCAGTTCAAGTAACCAGTACAAACTAAAACTGTTTATGTTTTTTTTTAAATAGTGGATTTTCGATATATCGATCATTATAAATATATTAATATCGGAGTTTTGCATAGAAGTTTATTTAAGGATATATCGAAAATCCTATATTTTAAAAAATAGAGTTTTATATAACAGTTTTAGTTTAAACTGATCAGTTGGAATGATCAGTTGAACTGACCGTGAGTGGCCACCATTACGCAATCAAGACATGGCCACCAACAGGTCACTAACAATATTGATACGACGTAGTAACCTTATAGAATTTCTATCCGTATGTGCTGTAGAAGTGAACGTGTGGTTTGCATATGACAGAATAACCATATCAAATATATAAATTCTGAACAGTAGTGCACTGCTATCTGAAATATTTCATTCTTTAAAGAAAACAAACGAGGTTCGAGTTTTATAACACACGACATTTGCCGTGAAAACCGTGCAATCATTTATAATAGTGATTGTTGACACTTGGCGAAATGCCATCTATACTGACACCATATAGTGTAGTAATAAGTGACACCACTGTGTATTATTTACTTGTGACTGGCCCTGGCTTCGCCTGTATAGAAATTAATAACGTGGCGTTATTTTAATTTAAGTTAAACAAAGGCCATAAGCCAAAAGACAGACAGACAAAATAAAAATAAAGACGAGTGTGCTTATGACCACACGACTGAAGTAAAACTTCTTTAGCTCCATCTGTATGTATATATATATATATATATATATATATATATTTTTATTATATATATTTATAATTTTTTTTTATTTTTATATGTTATATTTTGTGATTTCGTACATATGTTTTCGGTTTTATGCGTTTATTACTTTAATTTATTTTTTTATTGTTTGGGTGCTTACAGGGCTTTTTTTTTTTATATATATAATATGTGCTGGGTTTTTTTATATATATATATATATATATATTAAAGTTGTAATACAAATAAATTGTATTAAAATTAAATATATTTATCATATCGGCTTCCTTTCATAATTTGTTATTATT